CCAAGGTGTCAAGGAGACGGACGTGGTTGGTGAACATGAGGGGAGCCCGGGAAACTTAGCGAAACGCGGCAGCAACGGATACGCTGTCCAGTGCGCCAGGTGGTAAAACTCTACAAGAAATGTATGCAGTGAAAGAGGCTGCAGCTGACAAGCATCATGCGGAGAGCAGCAGAAATGGCTGTACGCTCGTGACCAAGACGGCTACGACTCATGTCGTCGAGGGGGAGTGTTGGAAGTGCAAGATGTGCACGTACATCGACTCCAGAGTAGTATCCTATGTTACGGCATATGGAAGGTTCTAGAAGGATCTAGGCATAGTGATAGGTCTTAGTTAGCGGATGGTTGGTTAGTTCTCACTTCGAGATTGGTAAAGCCACTGACGAGGCCCCGGCGGGGGCCGAAACGCGTCTGGCACGCGTTTCATCCAAGTCATTCACATCTACTCGATTCTACATTTCCTACAGGTTATGAGCCCAAACGGCTTGGTATGGGCACTGCGGTGTACGCGGAATATGCGCTGGGGGAGTTCACGCTCAAGTCGTCGCGGAAGCAACGGGCTCCGACGACAGGGGGAGCGGACCATACAAGTGCGCGGTGGACACGCAGTCGCTCTTTGCGTTCGGGAAAAGGACGGCCGAGTTCTGCACAAGGAGGTGGTTTCGAGTGGTGTGAGTGGTGGATCGAAAGAGGTCGATCGAGAAGGGGAACAACAACAAGCTCAAGCAAGGCTCAAGGACGGCTACAAGGTGTCAAGGGACGACGTGGTGGTGAACATGAGGGAGCCGGGAAACCTAGCGAACGCGGCAGCAACGGGATACGCTGGCCAGCGCGCAGGTGGTAAACTCTACAAGAATGTATGCAGTGAAGAGGCTGCAGCTGACAAGCATCATGCGGAGAGCAGCAGAATGGCTGTACGCTCGTGACCAAGACGGCTACGACTCATGTCGTCGAGGGGGAGTGTTGGAAGTGCAAGATGTGCACGTACATCGACTCCAGAGTAGTATCCTATGTTACGGCATATGGAAGGTTCTAGAAGGATCTAGGCATAGTGATAGGTCTTAGTTAGCGGATGGTTGGTTAGTTCTCACTTCGAGATTGGTAAAGCCACTGACGAGGCCCCGGCGGGGGCAGAAACGCGTCTGGCACGCGTTCAATCCAAGTCATTCACATCTACTCGATTCTACATTTCCTACAGGTTATGAGCCCAAACGGCTTGGTATGGGCACTGCGGTGTACGCGGAATACGCGCTGGGGGAGTTCACGCTCAAGTCGTCGCGGAAGCAACGGGCTCCGACGACAGGGGGAGCGGACCATACAAGTGCGCGGTGGACACGCAGTCGCTCTTTGCGTTCGGGAAAAGGACGGCCGAGTTCTGCACAAGGAGGTGGTTTCGAGTGGTGTGAGTGGTGGATCGAAAGAGGTCGATCGAGAAGGGGAACAACAACAAGCTCAAGCAAGGCTCAAGGACGGCTACAAGGTGTCAAGGGACGACGTGGTGGTGAACATGAGGGAGCCGGGAAACTTAGCGAACGCGGCAGCAACGGATACGCTGGCCAGTGCGCAGGTGGTAAACTCTACAAGAATGTATGCAGTGAAGAGGCTGCAGCTGACAAGCATCATGCGGAGAGCAGCAGAATGGCTGTACGCTCGTGACCAAGACGGCTACGACTCATGTCGTTGAGGGGGAGTGCTGGAAGTGCAAGATGTGCACGTACATCGACTCCAGAGTAGTATCCTATGTTACGGCATATGGAAGGTTCTAGAAGGATCTAGGCATAGTGATAGGTCTTAGTTAGCGGATGGTTGGTTAGTTCTCACTTCGAGATTGGTAAAGCCACTGACGAGGCCTCGGCGGGGGCAGAAACGCGTCTGGCACGCGCTCAATCCAAGTCATTCACATCTACTCGATTCTACATTTCCTACAGGTTATGAGCCCAAACGGCTTGGTATGGGCACTGCGGTGTACGCGGAATACGCGCTGGGGGAGTTCACGCTCAAGTCGTCGCGGAAGCAACGGGCTCCGACGACAGGGGGAGCGGACCATACAAGTGCGCGGTGGACACGCAGTCGCTCTTTGCGTTCGGGAAAAGGACGGCCGAGTTCTGCACAAGGAGGTGGTTTCGAGTGGTGTGAGTGGTGGATCGAAAGAGGTCGATCGAGAAGGGGAACAACAACAAGCTCAAGCAAGGCTCAAGGACGGCTACAAGGTGTCAAGGGACGACGTGGTGGTGAACATGAGGGAGCCGGGAAACTTAGCGAACGCGGCAGCAACGGATACGCTGGCCAGTGCGCAGGTGGTAAACTCTACAAGAATGTATGCAGTGAAGAGGCTGCAGCTGACAAGCATCATGCGGAGAGCAGCAGAATGGCTGTACGCTCGTGACCAAGACGGCTACGACTCATGTCGTCGAGGGGGAGTGTTGGAAGTGCAAGATGTGCACGTACATCGACTCCAGAGTAGTATCCTATGTTACGGCATATGGAAGGTTCTAGAAGGATCTAGGCATAGTGATAGGTCTTAGTTAGCGGATGGTTGGTTAGTTCTCACTTCGAGATTGGTAAAGCCACTGACGAGGCCCCGGCGGGGGCCGAAACGCGTCTGGCACGCGTTCAATCCAAGTCATTCACATCTACTCGATTCTACATTTCCTACAGGTTATGAGCCCAAACGGCTTGGTATGGGCACTGCGGTGTACGCGGAATACGCGCTGGGGGAGTTCACGCTCAAGTCGTCGCGGAAGCAACGGGCTCCGACGACAGGGGGAGCGGACCATACAAGTGCGCGGTGGACACGCAGTCGCTCTTTGCGTTCGGGAAAAGGACGGCCGAGTTCTGCACAAGGAGGTGGTTTCGAGTGGTGTGAGTGGTGGATCGAAAGAGGTCGATCGAGAAGGGGAACAACAACAAGCTCAAGCAAGGCTCAAGGACGGCTACAAGGTGTCAAGGGACGACGTGGTGGTGAACATGAGGGAGCCGGGAAACTTAGCGAACGCGGCAGCAACGGATACGCTGGCCAGTGCGCAGGTGGTAAACTCTACAAGAATGTATGCAGTGAAGAGGCTGCAGCTGACAAGCATCATGCGGAGAGCAGCAGAATGGCTGTACGCTCGTGACCAAGACGGCTACGACTCATGTCGTCGAGGGGGAGTGTTGGAAGTGCAAGATGTGCACGTACATCGACTCCAGAGTAGTATCCTATGTTACGGCATATGGAAGGTTCTAGAAGGATCTAGGCATAGTGATAGGTCTTAGTTAGCGGATGGTTGGTTAGCTCTCACTTCGAGATTGGTAAAGCCACTGACGAGGCCCCGGCGGGGGCCGAAACGCGTCTGGCACGCGTTCAATCCAAGTCATTCACATCTACTCGATTCTATATTTCCTACAGGTTATGAGCCCAAACGGCTTGGTATGGGCACTGCGGTGTACGCGGAATACGCGCTGGGGGAGTTCACGCTCAAGTCGTCGCGGAAGCAACGGGCTCCGACGACAGGGGGAGCGGACCATACAAGTGCGCGGTGGACACGCAGTCGCTCTTTGCGTTCGGGAAAAGGACGGCCGAGTTCTGCACAAGGAGGTGGTTTCGAGTGGTGTGAGTGGTGGATCGAAAGAGGTCGATCGAGAAGGGGAACAACAACAAGCTCAAGCAAGGCTCAAGGACGGCTACAAGGTGTAAAGGGACGACGTGGTGGTGAACATGAGGGAGCCGGGAAACTTAGCGAACGCGGCAGCAACGGATACGCTGGCCAGCGCGCAGGTGGTAAACGCTACAAGAATGTATGCAGTGAAGAGGCTGCAGCTGACAAGCATCATGCGGAGAGCAGCAGAATGGCTGTACGCTCGTGACCAAGACGGCTACGACTCATGTCGTCGAGGGGGAGTGTTGGAGGTGCAAGATGTGCACGTACATCGACTCCAGAGTAGTATCCTATGTTACGGCATATGGAAGGTTCTAGAAGGATCTAGGCATAGTGATAGGTCTTAGTTAGCAGATGGTTGGTTAGTTCTCACTTCGAGATTGGTAAAGCCACTGACGAGGCCCCGGCGGGGGCCGAAACGCGTCTGGCACGCGTTCAATCCAAGTCATTCACATCTACTCGATTCTACATTCCTACACAGAAGAAGCGTGAAAACCGTCTGCAAATGGTGCAAGTTGCAGATGAGGATTAACAGTTATTGCACCAAATGTTACACCAACTCAGCGGACGACACAGGCCGAGTTGAGATGGAATGCTACTGTGTCGAAATTACATATACTGAATAATTACGAAATGAAGTCCTGAACGATACCTACGGGACGCTCAGTCAAAAGAAGAAAAGTAAAAAGAAGGCGATCCGGACTCCAAGAGAGTTGAACCCGAGGGAGACAACTGGGAAGAGCTCAGCGGACTCGACGATTGGAGGCGTGGCGGCGTAGCATTTGAGCGAAACGTTCATCCGCTACTACTGCTCGCGGTTCACGCAGACGGCACTGTCACGTTACTACTCTGCCAAGCGGAAACGTAACAAACACCTTTGCGACTACATAAACCGGCTGAATGGCTACGCTCGGACCGCCCGTCTACAGTTCGAGAAGAGTGGTCGCGACGCGAAAGAACACGTACAGCAGTTTCTGGCAACATGCGATGATGACAAGTTGGCGGAGAGCCTTTACCACGCTCGAGTCGCCGACATTTACGAGCTCGAAGAGATCATCGAAGCTGTTCTCAAGGGCAAGGAGAGAATGACCAAG